CTACCCATTAAATGCAATTTCAGACTTGCCACATTTAAGTTTATGACCACCCAAGAGGCTGTGAGGTGCCACAGATACTGGGAAGTGAAACTCAAAACCAATTAGTAATCACCATTTTTCTGACTTCAAAGATTTGCAAGATCCATCATTTCCGTTTACTGAGTTTCTGCACAGGCAGAAAGGGAACATGGAGGCAGACACGAGAGGACAGCTAGAGCATCCTGGAGCGAGCATCCTGGAGCGAGCCTCCTGGAGTGAGCATCCTGGAGCGAGCATCCTGGAGCGAGCATCCTGGAGCGAGCCTGGCCCTGCCATCACTCAGGATCTGTGTTCCACGGATGCCAAGAGTCGGTAGAAAGCCCACATCCCCTGAGTGAGTCACAACGGCTGGCCTGAGTGGCAGCCACCAAGACGAGCCTTTCAAGTACTTCCACTATGGGACAAATGGAGTCGGCATGCTCTGCCCTTCCATCTTCTCAATACAGATGGAACAAAACGTGGTGAAAGAGATAAAAAGGGATTCTAACAGGTGGGACAGCCAGTGGCCTGGAGGCCTGAGAGACGCCATGACACAGACAGCCAACAGTCGTGGTTAATTCCTCCTTGGGGCTCCTGAAGTCCATACTGAGGACCCAACATCAAGTCCTGGCTGCTCTTTCTGACTCCAGGATGCCGCAACTACAAGCTGGGCGGAAGCAAGGAACGGCTCCGTGATGAGGAAGCTGGCAGTCACGTGGGGGGCCTGGATGGACCCACAGGTGGCTGGTGTCAGATGCAGGCATGTGGGGGAGTGAATCAGAGAGCAAAACCTCTTTCTCTGTGTGTTTCTGTCTACAACATTCAAATAAAAAAAAGTGTGCAAGAAGGCAAATCAGAGATATTTAAAATCAGATGAGAAGCAAAAAAAAAAAAAAACCCACAAAATGACAGAATTCAGGCATAACACATAAATGATCACATTAACAGAAAATGATCTAAGAACAGCGATTGGACATTGTGCCTCAGGGCTAAAGCAGTGCTGAGGAGGAAACATATAACATTAACTATATATACATCATATACTTATACATAGCGCATATATGTGTGTTGGAGAAATTTCCAAATTAGTGATGCAGGCTACGATGGCATGATCTTACAGAAACCAGGAAAGGAAGAAATCTTAGAAGTCACAGGTATGCGAGGGGAAAAACAGCAGCGAACTCGGGAGAACACACACCGCTTTCTCTAAAGAGATGAATACAACTGGAAAATGTCGCCCAAATGGATGAAAGAGAGCAAAAGACCACAAATTACCTGCAGCGGGAAGGACACTGAGGACCTGACTATAGGACCTAAGTCAGCAAAGGCACAAGCATGGAATATCAAAAGCAACTCCGCAGGAACACATCTGATAACTCAGATGACCTGAATCACCTTTTAAGGAACGCATACCTCTGTAACTCACTCAGCAGTAAACAGGCGCTTGGAAGTGCACTACTGCTTTCAAGGAAATCGAAGTCGTAATTCAAAACTGCCCCTAAAATATTCTAGGCTATGTTTGAAGCACAATTAGCGGGAACTGTCCGAAATTTCCTGCAGAAAATTGAAGAAATGGCACTTGTTCTAATTCATTATATAAAGGTCAAGTAACTCCAAGACTAAAATAAGACAGTATAAGAGAAACACAGGACAGGACAATATGTTGCGTGAACTTCAATGCAACACCCCGAATCTAGAATGACACCTACACAAATATGCTCAACTTCCATGTGACAAAGTTTTTAAAAGTTAAGTACAGGGGAGACAACCTTTTCAACAAATAGAATAAGTTCAACTGATACCTATAGATGGGGAAAAATTTCCTTTGGATCAGCCTCATATGCTATGAAAACTGAAAGTCAACGGGGTTCAAGTGAGTGAGGTCTGTGCTATCCTGTGATGTTAAGACAAACATCGCACTGCACCACTTACAAGAGAAATCAAAAGTAATCAAGATTGAGAAACAGGGGGTACGCGTGTGCCAATCAGAGCAGGGCTGTATCAGAGGAGCAGGGGCGGGGCTGGGGGACGGTGATTAATGAGGCCAGAGCCTGCGGTTTGCAAGTTCAAGAAACGCAGAAATTTATTTTACAAGAGTGTACATAAACTAAAGTGGAGAAGATGCAAAACTCCCACCGTGACCAGTTTATAAAACCACACTACTTTTAAAAAGTAAACGAGGTGGGTCACAGACTAAGATGCAAGAATATAAATCAATCAATCAAACATTTGGGGGAAAAGCATGGGAGAAATTCTTCATGATACAGACCTAGGAAAACTCTATAGAACGCTTCATGATCTATAGAGGGAGAATCGAACTTCATCTGAATTGAAATTGAACTGAAAATTTGCACTTGGAAAGCTCCCCTCAGACAAGGAGTGGAATAGGAAAAGCTAATCCTGTATCACCTGCCTCCCACAGACAGAGATTCTCCACAGAAGATGACCCAGATACTAAATATATGAAAGATGATCAATGTGATTAGCCATAGGAGAAAGTCAAATTCAAACACCCCATGCCAGAGGACAGGTGCTGACATGCCAGTGAGGAAGCAACCAAATGGAATCGCTTATCCCCTGCTGAGGGGAACAGCCCCCATGTGTCATTGTGACCCAAGGATTTCACCGAGGGGTCAAGCACGGTGCTGTGTTGGGTTCAGTGGCTGTCTCGGTGCTGACATCCCACTGCGCACCAGTTCCAGTCCTAACTGTCCCACTCGACGCCCACCTCCTTGCTGCCTCACCCCGTCAGTGGCAGCAACAGCCAGCAAAGTCAGGGCATGAACCTCCACCCGGCCTCCCACGCTGGTGGCAAGGATTGGCGCCAACACTTAGTGCCATCAAAACAGAATCAGCCAAAAACCTGGGTTAGAAATAGCACAGACGAGACTCAAGCCAGGCCAGTCCCTGATCTGAGTCATCAATGTAGCAATATGCTTTTCTATTTACAAAATGGCAATTTAAAGTGAAATTTGCATATGAATGAGCAATCATTAGATGATGGTGATTAATTTTGGGAATGTAGTTGTCTACATTCAAGGTAAGTTTTAGGCTCCTTGAACTAAATCCCCTGTTCATCTCCCAAGTGTCAGACGAATGTCCCTAAAACAGCAGGATACACATGGTAAAAAATAAAAGAAACAAAACAAAAAAACAGCAATTAAGACAAAATGAGAGAGCAAATCCTGCTTCCCCTCAAGTGAGGCCACACGGACTGCTTCTCTGTGATGACACGTCAGCCCACGCTCCAGCCTCCATTTCATAGCTCATTCAAGCCTGAGGGCAGACATCAGGAGGAATTGTGGGGTCGGAAAGTATTGCCAATGCAAGAAGCTGTGTTATTTTTAAAGGGCCCCTACCTCGTGTCCTGATATTTTGGCAAGATCTCTTTCACATCTCTGGGAGAACTCAAAACGCTTTTAAAGGCAAGAAAAAGAAAAAACTGGGGAGTCCTGAAGAGGAACTTAGAATGGTGGCTCATTTAGAAGTTACCAAAGCCTTCCATCTCGACAAGCATTTATTTTTTTTCTCTATTTTTCACATGCTATTTTCAAATAACCCTCTATCTTATTAAAGAATCTACTTGTTAAAGCAAAACAAGTCTGGATACTACAGGGCAGAAACATGAAGTTTCCATTCATGCATCCCTGGTGACCGCACAAGTGGACTGTCTCTAACACATGTCCCTTTCTGTGAGTACAGCGGTCATTCACCTAAGCGAAACAAATATGACTCCCTCAGGGCTCCTGATTAGAAAATGAAAATTCAGAAATGTGAGATAAGGGCTTGAAAGCAAATCCAGCAGAACTGGCTGAGAAGGGGGCAGAGCACAGAGCGGCAGGTGCAGGAGCAGCCTCCAAGCCTACGGAACTCATTCCAGAAATGTGCAGTCATCACAGTCATATAGGCGTATACCTACGTGAAGGGCTGAGTCCAACATTTTCTACGTTTGCTATGTTTCAATGATAAGATCCCAGGCCAAGCAAAGTTGGCTTATTTCAGGGTTACTTCTCGGCCTACTTTTCTTTTCTACTCAGCTTCTTTTCTCAGTGACTTAGCTGTTCTTTTATTCTTAAGGACATTCTACCAACCTTTTTCACAACGGGATCCTGTTAACAGACATTCCCCTGCCCCAAGAACTCCAGCCTCCAACACTGCACTGCCCCTCTGGTTTGTCCTTCATGTCCAACAGCACCTCGGGATCCCTGTGTCCAAAACACAACCCCAGTTCTAACCCAAACCTCCCCACACAACAAAAGCACACACCTAGTAGGCATTCTCACTTCCTGCCCTGCTCCCCCATGTGCACGGCCTGCTTCCTCTGAATTCCAGTCTCATCGTCTCCCCTTCTATCCGGCCAATCAGAATGGCCTCTGCCCCAACCCCTCCAGTGTCCTTCCTGCGTCCACAGCCCGTGCACGTGCCCCCCAGCACAGTGATGCATCTTCGGAGAGCACAGGAGCTGGCTCGGCTACTCAGAACATGTACAGGATCATTTACCAATCTACATACCTTCCACACACCAATTCATTTAAATTAAACTTCCCCATACAACGTACCTGCTTCCAACACTCTCGTGTTTATTGCAGTTAGGATAAACTCTGAAGTAAACAAACGTCCCTCTCCAACACCAACCCTTCACATGGGAACTGGAGCCTGTTTTCCCAGGATACTCTTGTCAGTTCCTTCCTGCCAATGCCTAGGTCATGCAGATCTACCCCAATTTCCAAACCCTGCGGCAACGCTGCCCTGCCTTTTCCTCTGCCAGAAAGGAACCCGCTTCTCCACCTTTTATGCCTCTGCTCCTTCCGGCTTTCCACTCTCAGTGTCTGCCTCCTCCTGTGGGCAGACCGCACCACTCCATCTGCAAGAGCCCTCAGCCTCTCAGACTCACATAACCCAATCTGCCATGATCAATATCCCTTCTCCACCATTTACACGTCTGATTGTTCCATGTGTCACAGACGGGAAGGCGTACTTACAGAGAAGCTCCTCTGTCTTCTTGTCTCTTGTACTCAGCCCGGTGCCTGTCTTCTAGTAGGTGCTTAGGAAATATCTGGTGAGTGAGAGAAGTACGTTAGGAATCAGCCAAAGTAGCCCAGCAGCTAAAATAAATCACCCTAAAATATCAGTGGCTCAACACAATAGATTTATTCCTAGCTCACTTCACAACCCCTTGCAGGTCAGCGAGTGCTGCAGACTCCGCCATCTTCAACATCAAACGGCCAAGTTTATTTTAAGAACTGACACCCATCGGGCTGATGGGAGACTGGGGTGAGGGGAAGGCTCACTTTCTCTGCAACTGTGTCCCCGAAAATGTCACACGGCAAGGGTGATCACCTGTGGCCATTCGCGATAGACCCCATAGCGCCCACTAGAGGCAAGGGGCATGGAAGCCTCACTGAGCCTTTCCCACAAAGGCACTGGGCCCCTCCCACGTTCACAGCACACAGTGCCATCCTTGGCGGCTTGCACCGTCTACCCAGAGCTTGATATTAGGGCACAGAGCTTCAGGATACACCGAACATGTTCCATTGATTCACTGCTCAAAAAGAATCCAGCAGACGTGAGCACACACTCAGTGTCCTGGTGAGCAAAGCATTCAGAATGGCCAACATGCCCCAGTCTCACAGACCTCATCGGGCAAATCCTATTCACTGTGCAGCACTGAGGAAACACTCCCGTTTCCTTCCTTCTCAAAGACTGCGAGGTCACCACTGCCTCACAGCAAGGTAAAGGATTTCAGCTTTTGATGTCAATCCTAGACCTTCTTTCAGAGCTAATTTAGGAGTAGGATGCACACATTCTTAAAGTACAAGTAAAAGATCGTATTTTCAAAATGCATTCATTCTTTACACAAAATAGTGATGGATGCCTGTGCAAAGTTGTTTCCGGAAGAAAACAAGCAGATTTATTGTGTCTGAAACTGAGACACTGTGATTTTATCAAAGCTCATATCCCAGAACTTTTCTAGGCTAGAGGTTGCTCAATTTATAACCAATTTTACCAAGGCTCAATTTTACCAAGACCATTGCTATGTCCCTATTTGACTAAGAACGGTTCTAACTGCTGAAGTACCTTCTGGTAGCAACACCCTGACGGATTGGTTATACTATCATTATTATTCTGACATATAATAACACCACCATTTTGCTTGTAGGCCTATTGAGAATCCATCAATTAATTTAGTTTACACGTGAGGTTCAAGGTGAAGTATAGGAAATATGATTGCTGAATTTCAGGCCCCGAGCTCCAGGATACTACAATGACACTGCTGGTAAGCATGTCATGTATGAAATGCTACGTTCCAGAGAAACAGTAGACGGACAACAACAACAGTCTCAAGCGTCTTAGTGGACATTCACATTTCGTTCCTTTGATTCTTACTGAAGATTTCATACTCTGACATAATGCTGGTATTTGCTTCTTGTTGAATGGCACGTTTGCAGGCAGGCCTGGGAAAGACTGATTTCTCAGGATAAACATCTCGGCTGCAGCCTACCGTGCAAATGACTCCAACATAATTTTTGATGTAGAAAGTTTTAAAGTCTTACGCCATTTGTAACAATTAAGTCTCATGAATTACTACAGATATCAGTTAAAAGTAGGAACTGTCTGGAAGAAAACATAGTCCCAAACTGCCCTGACCTGGAGGTCTCTGTTTTGTTTGTTTGTTTGTTTGTTTGTTTGTTTGTTTTTTAACTGTTTAAGACAGCACATGAATAATGAGAATGGCAATAGAAAAAAAATAACAATTTGAGTTCCAACAAATTAAAGACATGTTAAATGAAACAAAAATAAAGACAGACTTACTAAAAGCATAAGATAAACCATGCAATTGAATGTGGTCACCTATCAGGAGATTTTAAAATACATTATGCCAAGCCAGACAAAACTTAAAAATGCAATAGGTACGTCTGCACCTATAATCAGATCTTTTAGCACTGAAAAGAGCTTTAAAATTATTTTTGAGTAACATACACACATTTTGTACAAATATCTGAAAACACAGAGGAGAAACACTTTGCAGTTTACACCACGAGATGAGCACTAACTCTAGCTAACATTGGAAAAGATATTGGGCAAGAATAACAGACCCCAATTCTCAGTAAGCATGCTACATATGGGGCTGCACAATAGTGTAGCAAGCTAATCCTCTCCTTGTGGTGCCAACATCCCATACGGGTGTTGGCTGGAGTCCAGAGGCTCCACTTCCAGTTCAGCTACCTGATTGTCCAGGGAAGCAGCAGAGGATGGCGCCAGTCCTTGAGCTACTGTGCCCATGTGGGAGACCAGAAATAGCTCCAGGCTTCTGGATGCAGATGAGCTCAGCTCTGGCCTCGTGGCCATCTGGAGAGTAAACTGTTCTGTCTCTCCTTCCCTCATTCCCTTACTTTCTGTAACACTGACTTTCAAATAAAATAAGAAAAAAAATTTAAAAACTAGAATAACACATATGGGTGAGATGAAGGGAATATATAAAATAATACAATAATGTAATAATATAATAATACATCATTATTGTTATTATTTTAACATTAACTAAACCACAGGAAGAGGAGTTTTTCCTTAAACTGCTACAGTGCATCTACAATGGAACTCAAAGTTAAAATTACTTCTAATGACATAGCAGTTTAGTTGTCATTATTTTTCATTTCTGATCATCTGTGTATTGAACATGTTGACAAGTACTACAGTCAGACATGAAGAAAAATGTAGATCTATTATAAAGAAGTAACGTTGCTTTTACTTTGTAAGGTACCCATTACCGGGAACCAAAATGGTTGTTATAATATGGAAACAAAAGTACAGACAGGGAACACTTAACCTACCTGACTTCAAAACATACTCTAAACAATCACGACAAGGGGACACCAGCTTAACTACATACATAAAAAGCAAGAGAATAAAGACCAGAAAGACACACAGGGTCAAATGAGCCGACAAAATGGCGCAGGAACTCCCTGGGAGCATCATGACATTTGACAAGAAATGACAGAAGCCCCATAGGACGGTAACAAATGCACCTGGGCTCTCTGCACCTGTGGTTTTCAAAAGTGAGCTCGCTATGGAACTCAAAACATTCGATTTGCGAGTCTTGATGTTTATTATGCTCATGGTAGCCTTGTTCCTGTCTCAGTGAGAATCACTTCGTTTCTGCATGGCAGCTAATTTGCTATTCCTAGAGAGCGATGGGGCAGTCGACAATGAGAGAAGCCAGACCAACAGGGCAGAGGACACTGTAAAATTACAACTACACAGCTGTGTGAAAATGTGCTATTCAAGTCTGAATGCTTCCAGCAGAGTGTGCTGCTTGTGGGGGAGTTGGCTCGTTCACTCTGAAAATCTCTTGAAAGTTTCCTGGGAAAATATGGATATGAAGTTGCCATAACTGGTCTTTGGTCCATTGGAATTGGGTCATGACAAGCCCATTTTATTTAAATTAAAAAGGCTTGCTATTTTAGAGTACTTAATGATCAATAGTCATTTCCTGTACACAGCCCTCACTCCCAATAGCTGTATGCACATGTCATCATTGACAGTTTAGCAATCAACAGTGATGCACAATACACAATAATTCAAATACATATGTAACATTCAAGTTTAACTGTTGATGGTTTGACAAAGGCAAAATGCCACATGTCCCCCTCATATCATACAGGACAGTTCAACTGATGTGAAGAGTCCTCTACATTTCCTACCTACTGTTTTCAAACTTCTCACTCTGGTAATCAATGGTCTTTGACTGTCTATTTCCTTATATAAAACATATTGTTAGAATCAAACGGCATGTAACATTTTAAACCACCATCTGTGAAAAAACACATCCTATTTCAGTTTGTCAACAGCATCAAGCATGCATCAGACTGCCGTGTGACTCACTGTTGTATTCCAGAACAAAACGGGGGCCGTCGTTGGCCTGGAGCCCTACTCTCATGACACTCCATCCTGTGTTCTCTGAATGTGTGCATCTGTGTTTTCATTTCTAATTGACAAGACTTCTCATCTGTATGGGGTGCTGACTTTGTTTCCTCCAACAATGCTTCGATTTTTGAGTACTGACCAGGGTTCTCCATGATTGAGTATGTGAGGCAGAGAGGACAGAGTTACAAACTCCAGCCAGAACCCAGGCTATTCTACTCTCTTTGCTGAGGATTTGGACACTTTTGGAGCAGCCCTGCTACAAGTCACTGTAGCTGTGTCTTTGAGGGAAGACAAGTCTGGCCATTAGCCCCATCCGGCACTGTCAGCAACTACAGGTCACGTGAAATGGAATGCAGAGGCCTCCATCAGAGACTCTCAGAACCCTGCATGGCATCTTCCTTCACAACCTTTCAATCTGTCACTGTTAGCGATCCAATTTGCAACCAGAAAGCAGAGCAATCATGATTCCAACTATTAAAATGTTAGCTTCTAACAATTTTTGGGGAATTAGCAGGTCACCCAATACAAAGGCAAACTGTGGTGTAATGGTAGGGGAAGGCTGCTTTATGTTGACAATTTTGCACTCACGTCATAGCCTTTGAAATAAAGGGGACACAAATTGTGGAGATATCAATAATACTTTTTAAAGTAAACATATTTAACAGAAAATCAATCTCATACATATTGAAGCTTAATCATCTAAACTCCACTTGACACATATTTACCCAACATCCACACTTTAGAAATGTCACATGGCAGTGAAATATTTATCGCCACGTTCATCTTTAATCTGTTTGGTACCTGACATTTATACCTCGGATCACCCTTGCAGACAAACTCCCCGTTCTTTGAAATACTTTTCCCACGTTAGTTCACAATCATAAACTTTATTTGCTAGAAAGGATGGAAAATGAGATAATTACTACTTGTATAATGATTTATTCTGATATTTGTTTGCAATGAACTCCCTTTAGAGTTTAATGAATCCCACTTAGTGTTTAAGCAGCCTATATATCTGCCAACAGGACTTGAGTTTTCAGCTTCTGTGTATTAGGAAGATAAAGGGTCTTGTTACTAAGCACGGGGGCTCACTGGCATTGGGCCCAGATGGGATGTTTTATACGGAGGATA